CCTGAGGGGGCTAATTCAAGTCATATATGGTGATTTTCAACATTTCCTCCTTTATCCTACTATGTGGTGCTAAATGACATTGTTCAAAAGGAACAATTAAAGCTGGAAATGTCATGAGTGTTGTAGAGATGTGGTCATAACACATTTTGAATTGATGCCAGTGTTATTCAGTCCTTATTATTTAATTCCATGATGACCATGAAAGTATAACAAAATCATTCATCATTTATTAAGAAGCTGTTGAGGTATATTTTTAAAGCAAGAAAAAACAATATATCAGTCTTGTAGAGAAACTAAACGTTTGTTTGATTTTTTTATTTTTATTTCTCATATGATGGCAATGATGATATGCTATGTGCCAGTTTATTGTGAGATGTTTCTCTGAAAAAGTAAAAACTCCTCTATTAAACTTCATGTGGGAACAAAAACTTAATTGTACATTGTTCAAGTAATGCCATGTGCATGGCTCAAAGTGAAAGGATGCACTTAAATGTTAAAGAAAAAGTTCCTCTGTTAAGAACTGTGTATTCAGCCTTTGAACGAAACTAGCAGATACAAATTTGAATGCCTTTGTCCCCAAATCCATTTCTATTCCTCACACTCTGCTCCTGTGAATAAATACCAGCCCAGGAGAAAACACTGAATTGTAGGTGTTGCTCTATTGCATCCTCTGTTTGAAAAGCAATAAAAAGCATTGGAGGATGAAAAATGAGGTGAACTACACAAAGCAAGTTAACAATAAGAAATAATGTTTCAAGGGTGTCAAGAATTTGAAGGCATTTTGGAAGCACATGCTGTTTCAGTAACCCAGTGTACTCAGGCCTTTCCTGTCCCAAGCCCTGATACAGACTTATAAACAGTTCCTCAGGGAATCTGGGAGAAAGGCTCAACAAGGAATGACACAAAAGTCTTTCTTTCAGGTGGCTGAATAAACAATGTCCTTCATATTTGTAAAATTGATTTCCTATAAAATTCAAGTGAATGGCACTGATAACAGCATCTAATCTTCTGGAGCGCAGGCATTATTATATCCTCTTGGAGCACATACAGTCATGGATACTATAGAGTGCAGTATGCAGGGCCTTAGTCTGACCTTGTGTGTCAGCTCAGCACATGACAGAGGGGTGGAGAAAGCACCGTAGGGGCATGGCTCTACGTGTTGCATAGCCAATAAGATCTTGACTGGCCTCACCATTTAGCACCATTGTGTCCAGATTGTCCAGCTGTTTGATCTGGGCACTGAATGAACTCTACTTTATTCAGATGAAACAGTGACAGTGTTGAAACTTGTAGCCTGGCACCGACTCACTGATTTTTTGTGGACAGTCTGTGAAACAAATGTAGTGTTTCTTTTTTGTATTTTTTTAATATATATCTAAAGCCACTCAGTCCGATTCTGTGATGTCTGCACTGTGTTAACGTCCCTCAGAGACTTTATCTGCAGAGCTCATCTGTCCCTGTTCAAGAGCTCCTGCTAAGGTAAGATCCTTGATATGCATATAATATTTGCCAGACATCATTTTTAAAATAATTACTTCAAGAACTAGTCTGTTTCCAGTTGGATATTCATAAAAAATGGATTGCTTTGTTAGTGTTATAACAATACTTATTATGTGAGAATGCAATATCCCTGAGCAAATATTTAACACATTATTCTCATCTATAATTAAACAGACAAATTCATTTCTGTCTAAAATTGGTACTAGAAAGCTGGGGTCAGAAAAGGCCTGAAGCGGGCAGAATGAATGAAAAGTCTTCCGCAAAAGAGCCCAATTTGGCACAAATTTAAAATTGCGTGGTTTCTCAACCATATTAAAGGTAATTTCTTTTTTATTTTCATTATTCTTAGTTTGACAATTTAATTCAGGCAACATATAGGTACATAGAGTTGAGACTAAAATTAATTACTAAGAAAAGGAGATACATTTACCAAACTTAATCTTATGAATTCAAATTAAATCAGTTGAGCCTCACATCTTTAAGCACAGGCACCAAATCCTTTTGTATATCTGCTGATGTCCTCTGCTGAGCCCACCCTGCTTTGTGCTGGTATGTGTGTTGTCAAGTGGCACTTTCAGGCCGCCCACTTTGGCTACTTTATTTAGACCTTTACAGCGTGAGGGGAGTTTGTTTTTATACCTCTGCATGTTTGTCTACTCCTTGCTGGCTTGAATGAATTGACTCTCGGCAGTTTTTACTGAATTATTTGATATTTTGCTCTTTATTTTAGAGACAGGCAGTCAATCCTTAGTGAGAACTTATCTGTTTTATTCATTATTTCTCCAGATTTACTATTCTATCCTGGGGTCCTGTCTGTCTTAACTTGTTCCTCCATTTATCATTTAATGTCAACTGCTGAATTTTTATTCTTTAAAAGTACAGATAGTCCTGTTTCTGTTGTAACAACATTTCCTGGCATATTATCCTGTTTAAGAGTCTAGACTTCATTCAATCTTTTCATTCCCTTTTCTCGTAATTTCATAGTTTCCAAAAGGAGAAGGCTCCTTGATCGATTAAAGGTTAAAACCTTTTTTAAAAAACTTTTACACTTAACCTAAACTAACTCAAATGTTATTGTTACCTACAGTGTGTTGAACAACATTGATTTTTAAAGTAGCATTTATTAAGAAAGGCCAATAAAAAACGTGGTGCAAACTTAGACATTTAGGCTTTGTAAAATAATATTGCTGTATTGTGGTCACTTCATGGAAAAATCTTTGGGCTGTCACAATGTTATTGGTAAAACATGATTAACTTTGATATGAAGCTAACCAATGGACAGGTAACATCAAACAACACTGAACTTTCTATGGATATGAAAACACAAGATTAAACTGGAAGCAACACGTTAAAAAAGAAAAGAAACTATGACAAAATATATATCTATTTTGAGTAGAAAACTAATACAGTTACGTTTTCTAATGCTGGTTGCAGAGAACATCATCAGAGTACAGAGCTGCAGTTAGGACACCTTTTTGTTTCCATGTTTGTGTCAGTTTGTGTATGTATTTGTCAGTGCAGAGTCTATGGATAAGCTTTTCAGCACAAAAGTTTTTCCATGCAGCCCTCCCAAAATTCCAATTGCATGTTTCTAAACATAAATGAATGCTCACTGGTTGACAAGTCGGCCAGAACATTGAAGTATGAAAAGTACAGACACAGTGCAGTTGGTTGATGGACCAATTTAATGTTCCTCAAAAACAACAGTCATTTAGCATTTTTACTTGCATAAAAAACAAATACTCCTTGTTAGTGATAACCAATAATGTCACACACACAACTTATTTCTTTGATATGCAAAACTGATTTGATTTAGTGGCAGTGTAAGTTCTTATTTCTCTCAGTGTATTGCTGCTGCAAGATAAAGAAGGAGGCACATTTACAGCTGCACAGCAGATGCTAAAATCCCAGCTCAATAACAAAAGTTCTTTAAAACATTAAATATTCACTACGTGCTGCACACAACTGGTTTATCCAATAAGTTTTCAGAGTCCTAACCCAATTCATCAACCAAATCAAGTCCTCCTTGGCTGAAAAACGCTACATCATCAGCCATTCCAGAGCGTAGCCCTGAGCTATTGAGCAGTGTGAATTCAACCTGTGTTCGTGGTCTGATCGATGTTCTCTCTGGATAGTCTCCCCTGTGTAAACAATACAGTAAGTTGTTTGACTCTGCAGATGGACTCGTATTCATCATTTCTAAAGTGAAACTGTGTGAGATCAGCGGGTGGGAGTTTAGTAAATGCATGCAGAGATCAATTCAAAGCAAAGCAAGGCCAGAAATGCCATGTTTAATCTTTAATCTAAACTTTAATAACATAGTTATTAAAGTTGGGGAAATGCTTTTGCAACATAATGAATCTTTTCATATACACATGTGGTATCGTCAAAGCAGGGTTACTCAGAAGTTATAGGTCGGTATAGAAGGTTCGTACTGTATAATGCATGACAAAGCTATATGGTGAAGTGGCCAAAAGGGCTGAAATGGCCAAAAGGGCTTCCAAAGAATAGAAAAGCCTAGTTAGCGCTGAGACCAAGGAGCATGAAATGCATGAAAACATTTTGGAAAAAGGAAAATTAAAATCAAGACTGTGAGATAGTACCTGATGTGTATTTTTTCTAGTTTTCTAAAAACTAAAAAAAAAGTAACATCAACTTACTGAAGGTTAAAAAAAATAAAAGCAAATGTTTATTTGATAAACACAGTGTGAAAATGTGAAAATTACGCCTCTGGTAGAAAATGTGTTAGTTTGATTTTCCTTCTTCAAAAACTGCCATGATAGGCAATGCCAAAGTAAAATGTACTAACAATATTACTAAACAAGAGAGGTGAGCCAGAAACAAAACCACTGCTGGTGTTTGGAAATACTGAAAACATCAAATCTGAGTTCTGTTTGCAAGGTCATACTGGTTAAGATCAACTTGAATATAAAGTTGATCTATTGCTGACGCTTTCTAGTCACCAAACTGATATAAGAATGTTTTATTGATGTCAAATGTTTCAAAGCTGAGGACAAAATATCAAGTTCAAGTAAAAGAGGACAATAAATTGAACAAAGTACCACAAATGACTGTGCAGCTGTATGAAACGGAAAAATGTTTTGTAATTTTCTATGTTTAATGATGGGTTGAATATTTATTAAGCACTTAACGAAATAAAGTTTTTTCAGCTTGTTTGCCAAAGGTCTTCTGTATTCTAATTCATAAACACAAATATAATTTTGTTAAACTGTTTTAAGAATTACAAGCAACTAATCAAAGGACTTTCTCTGTCACTTTGTTCTCTCCTAAACAGTCATTGTATCTGTAAAACTTCTTGAGTTTTAAGAGGAGATTTGCGAAGAACAATGCCACCAGCCGTCGGTGGTCCTCAAGGCTACACACCACCTGAGGGTGGCTGGGGATGGATGGTGGTGATTGGAGCCTTCATCTCTATTGGCTTCTCCTATGCATTTCCCAAGTCCATCACTGTCTTCTTCAAAGAGATTGAGGTGATCTTCAATGTGACAAGTAGCCAGGTGTCCTGGATCTCCTCCATCATGTTAGCCGTCACGTACGGCGGAGGTGAGCTACAGTACCATCCAAGACAAGCAGCTGAAATCAATACCCAGCTCTTAGCATGACCATACTACATTTATTCCTTTAGTGTTCTGTTCCAAATAAGAAAAAAAAATCATTTATTTTTGATGAAATACAGGCTTACTGTGTAGCTTTTCAGTCACAGAGAGATCACACATAATCATAATTACTGTGCTGAAAAAATTAAACTGGCAAAACAAAAGTTCAAGTGTTCCACTGAAATGCTGTTGCAACATTATCTTTCTCTGGAGCATATGAATGAGTTTAAGCCTTGCACACCTACCCATTCTTTTCTCTTGTGCTTTGAGACTGGAAGACCACCAGGGGTTTTGTTTGTGTTCTTGCACTGATGAGATGAATGAGACACTTCATGATGTCACTCTGGGCTGGTCAATCAGATGACGATAAAGCCCTTTTCAAGCTCACGATAAATAAACAGAGAGAGATCAGAGTTCAAAGAAGTCCTTCTTGTCCCAAAAGGCCATCTCCTCTGAAATCAAAACACTGCTGTTCTCTTTGCTCTAGTGTGTGATGAACTGGAAAAATGATGACTTAGGCATCTAGTCTCAAGGAAGCTTCGGGAAAGCTGCTTTAGTGTTCCAAACTAATGTGTGAAGTGGGAAGTGTAGCTCCATATAAAATACACTGTCAGTCAAATTTTATACATGGGGCTATGTGTAAAATTGTTTGTAAGATTTGCTAGCAGTAAAATAAAATAGGAAATATGGCCTCACTCAGCTAGCATTACACTGTGTGCATAATGGTGAACATATTGCATCAAAACATCCCAGGTGAAAACATCCCAAGAAACCAAGGTGCCACATGTCTGTTATTTACTCTGAGTATTAAGTTCCTAAGGCGAACAAAAACTTCACATTCAAGTTAAGTCCTCATTACTGTACAACAGAAGTATCGTGTTCCCCGTGGAAGAAATCAATGCTGCTTATTGTTCAGCAACACTTAACAAGCAGCTGCTTCTGGAGAGTGACATTCAGGCATGCAGGAACAATGGTTTAAGGTTATTGAGTTACACTGTAACAGTAACTGATTGTTCTCAACTTGCCTATCTTTACCATGGTGTTGCTTTTTATTTGTATCCTAACAAGTTATGAGCTGCAGTGTCTTAGTATACGTGGATATGTGTAACTCCCTCAATTAATGCAAATGTTTGATGTAAATATACACAGATGAAGGCAAGCTACGCATAGTAATTGAGAAAAGAGAATAAGCAAGGCAATGTTTGTCAGCGCCGTGAGCAGATGACAGCTGAGCCTCTTGCCATCTCTATGTTAAACATTCAGAACACATCAGCAGGAGAAGTTCATTAACAGCCCACTGTTGCGTACCTCTGTACTCCTTCAATTTTTGATTCATTATATTCATAATATTCTACATTGGTTTGTCTCCAACCTTTTTATCATAAGCAACCCACCCTGCAACGCAGAAGGAAAGAACTCATTGTTTGTGAGGAGACTGCCTGCATTACAATTTAAAAACCCTTTGTCTTGCACCGTGCTGGCAAATGAGTCTGGACAACCTCTAAACAAAAACTGTCAGTTTCCATTTGGGTTCATTGGCTAGTGCAGAGATTTGGCAGGAAGGCAGAAGTGTCTTCCATGTGGATCCTCATACTCATTTAGGCTGGTTGTTACATGTCTTAGATGGAGATGGTGTTTTGCGACCCGAGCCCTCAGTGCATTTTAGTCATTTGTCTACTAGTCATAGCAATTTTCCTGAGCTGATTTTGAATCCAGTATGCATGAATCTTAATAAGCTGGTTACTGTTTGCACAGTCAGTCTTTCTTTCTCTATAGCCAGTATCAAAATCTAATATTTATATATGTTATATATATATTTATATATATAACAGAAGATTCAGTGTTATTTTAACCCCAATGTACACACCAGTGAGAAAATCACCCCAGTACACTCACACAAATACCCCCACCCGCTTGTCTGAGCTGAGATATTTCTAATGATCATTTCAATTGTGTTTGGAGTACATTAAAAAGAGCTCCAAAACAAATTATTCTTCTGTCAATTTTTATGAATATCTGGATCAAATAAATGATTATTTCATTGCAGCTTTTGTGGTTTTTCTGACAGATCGCATTATTAATGGCTTGGGAGCACATCTACTGCAGTGCAGCACTGACAAAACTGATTGCTGAAGTTGTTTGAATTTGCTGAGACACAGCTGTGGCACTAGAGCCCTCTGGTGGTTAAAATTAGAATTGTGCCTTTGAATAGATGAAAAACATGTAGCGACATGATCTATATGCTATATTTATATATTTACTATATTTGTTCTTTGTTTCTTTTGATTCAGGTCCAATCAGCAGCATCCTGGTTAACAAATATGGGAGTCGTCCCGTTATGATGGCTGGAGGATGCCTGTCAGGATTGGGCCTCATTGCTGCTTCTTTCTGTGAATCTGTTCAAGCACTGTACTTTTGCATAGGTGTTCTTGGAGGTACCTAGTTTTTAACATTTTCAAGTTTGTTTGTTACTAACTTATTTTTTTCGTGCACTGTTGTTTTTTCAAACACTGTTTCATGCTCATTTTTATACATATTTTTACTGAATCTTTCAGGTCTGGGATTGTCCTTCAACCTTAACCCTGCTCTCACAATGATTGGAAAGTACTTCTACAACAAGCGACCTATTGCTAATGGGCTTGCCATGGCTGGAAGTCCTGTCTTTCTTTCTACCCTAGCTCCTATTAATACTTGGCTCTTTGATCAGTTTGGCTGGAGAGGAAGTTTTCTGATCCTGGGTGGCCTGCTTTTCAACTGCTGTGTTGCAGGTTCCCTCATGCGACCTATAGGACCAAAACCCAAGCCTGCAGAGAAGACCACAGAGAGGAAGACTGTGTTGCAGACCATTAACAGCTTTATCGACCTCACTTTGTTCAAGCACCGTGGCTTTTTGCTCTACATAGTGGGAAATATTGTCATGTTTTTTGGCCTCTTTGCACCGCTGGTGTTCCTCTCTAATTATGCCAAGAGTAAAAACATTGCCAAAGAGAAGGCAGCTTTTTTACTGTCTATCCTCGCTTTTGTTGACATGTTTGCCCGACCCTCAATGGGCATGGTGGCCAATACCAAGTGGGTCCGTTCCAGGATACAGTACTTCTTTGCTGCTTCAGTACTGTACAACGGTGTGTGTCATGTCCTAGCTCCAATATCAGAAGATTATACAGGCTTTACCATTTATGCCATCTTCTTTGGGTTTGCTTTTGGCTGGCTGAGTGCAGTGCTGTTCGAGACGTTAATGGACCTAGTCGGAGCGCAGCGTTTCTCCAGTGCTGTTGGGCTTGTCACTATTGTTGAGTGCGGTCCTGTATTATTAGGTCCGCCGTTACTTGGTGAGTACCCCACTAATGATAATAACTACTTACTATATACTTATATACTTACTATAACTACTTACTATACTAATACACTTGTATATATAAGTTATACAGTGGATTGTTAAGCCACTACATAAGTGCTTAATTTTATTTTTTAACTGGCTAGCAGAGGGCACTCCTTGAGTCTCAATAAGAAGTGCAACTGTATAAAAAAATGGCCTTGTTGGTCACTCAATCTTTTACTTCAGTAAAGACTTCGCTTATAGTTTTATGGTCTCAATCTCTAGTTTCAGCTGTTACACAACACAATATTTTGTGTTGTAATTTTGTAATTTTGATTTAGACTGCTAGATTATCCATCCATCCATTCCAGCTGTCACTGGGCGTGAGGTGTGGTCTCCCCAGACAAGTTACAAGCCCATCACAGGGGCAACACATAGACCCTTACACTGTTCCACTAGAATAGACTATCGCACATTATGTCATTGAGTGTAGTACCTTGTAAGTGAAAAGCCATGAGCATGTAGGGTCTGTAGTTTTTCAGTCAGTACCAGCCCTTGCACTACTATCAAAACACACAAAGGGTAACAGCTAAAATATCCATCTGAACAATTCTGAATGTGAGTGCACAAACCAAGACTTACATTTTTTATATACAGTTTATGCACAGAAACAGATGATCCTGTATGATGTCGTTTTGTCTTCACAGGGAAGTTCAAAGATGTCTACCATGATTACAAGTACACCTACCAGGGCTGTGGGATCATCCTCATAGTTGCTAGTGTCTTCCTGTTTGCAGGAATGGGGCTGAACTATCGGCTGCTGGACAAAGAGAAAAAAAAGGAGGAGAGGAGAGGAGTGGTGGGAGTTGGAGAACAAAAGTCCAACAGGGACAATGCTGCCAAAGAGGTGGCAGAAGCTAGGAATACAGAGGACACTGTATAAAGTCCTGCATCAAGTCAATTTACAACATGGGTCAATTTATTGTCCTTAGTGAGGAAATTTTTCAACAAAAGAAACATGCTTTTTCAACAGGCAACAATAGCATTAATTCCTCATCAGTTTGATTATGCATTGTTTTTGAAGCCCACCATAGAACTCATAGCCACAATTATAAAAGTCCTTTAAACACAAATACACAATCCTCATTAAATATATACCTCTTATATTTATACTTAAACCTCATAAATATATTAAATAAGCAATTTAAATTACGTCTGTCTTATTGGTAATATCATTATAACATTCTTTATAACTTTATTTCCTTTAGCATGTTAACCTTCTGAAATGTACAATCACATAATGAAAGTGTTTTGCTCTCGTTTGTTTGCTGTTACCAGTAGAAAGCTTTATTTTTAAGAGACACTTTCTCTTTTCTCACTTCTCTCTCACGACATTTATAAGACAGCATGAGCTTTCCAAGCACATCACAGCAAAGTGCAATTTTTTTTAACTTTTAGAAGTATCACCCATGCCACTTTGTTTATTCCATAAGCACATTCATTCTCATTCTAAATTCTTTTAAATGTTATTTTTTTCTGGTTCATTGTTGATAATGCATTATGCCAATTATAAAATAATTCTGATGTTTAGCGGTTTGCCTTATGATGGAAAACATGCCACTGACTGCAAAAAAAGGAATTTTGTGGAAAAAGTCAAATAAAAGGCTGTTTAACAAGGATGCAATACTCCACTGTGTCTTGTGTCTTGTTTTTTCTTGAATCTAAGATAGAAATATGGTATGATATTTTTGTTATGTGCTGACATAATTTATTTAAAAATTAAATCTTAACGTCAGGAAAAAAAGAATAATTCTACATTATTATTTTGTTTGTAATATTTTTTACATATCAGTTTTGATACAAGAGTTCAGAGAATAATTAATATTCTCCACTATGTACCAAACTGATTGATGGTTTCAAAGATACAAAGTGCTGTTCTTATATGACATATATCACCTCCAACTGCATATCTGTGCTAAATTAGACCCTTGACTATAACGTATTACCTTCATTTTTCATTTTATAATATAAAATTTTTCTTTATTTTGCCAATTTTACACATTAAATATTAATTAAAGGGACACAGCATCCGCCCACCAAAAAACAACTTAATTTTGTGTATATACCACTGCTACCACAAACATTATTCTTATATTATTATTATTATTATTATTATTATTATTATTATTATTATTATCAAGAAGAAGAAGAAAAATAAGATAATAAAAAAATAAAGTATGATATTTAAATAAACCTGAACGACAGAAGAATAGTCTTCACTTAAACAGTTGGTCAAGAGTCCTTCCTCGCCTCGTGCAGGGTGGTCGCGTTATAACCGTTAACCAAGTTTAACAGGTAACGTTTAAAAAAAAAAGTCATAGTTTACACGTAGTACCTAGTAAATTACCACATTGATGTTTATTAAGTAACATTCTAAACTACTGACTATTATTATTGGTTTTTTATCTTGTATTTTGTGGGAATTAACGCTGCTCTAATATACCGGAGGTAACTGTTAGCTGTTGTCTGCGAGCCTAGTTGACTCACAAATAAAAAGCTAATTACTGTTAGCTAACTAGCTAATGTTTAGGGTTATTTGACTTGTGAATATTAGGTAAAAAGGGAAGATAATAGTTATTTGTAGTCTTCTGGCATTTCTGTGGTGTTTATTAAAGATGTCTTGGTTTAAAACACCGCATTATTAAATAACTAGGTTATTGCTGTATGGCTATTCCAGAATGGAGAGAGATCAGCGTTTTAGCTTCAAGCTGTTGGTGCCTCCCAGGGTGAATAACGGACCAATATCTGCGGTTCAACCTCAAGAAATAGTTGAAGACAGAGGCAATTTCATGAAAGCATTGCAACCTGTAAGTCAATAAATAGTTAGTTATAATTAGTTAATAATTAGAAGCTAAGCAATGATGAAAAAACTCAAAGCACCACTATGCTAGCTCAGCAGTAACTATTTAACCTTAGCAATGACCATTGTATGTGTGTTGTCAGCAGCATTCTATGAGGCAGTAATTATTAACACACATGACATTAAATATTACTGCTCTTTTCCACCAGAGTTACAGTGAATGCTTTGACAAAGAGAAAAACATCCTGTCCCCCAATACAAACGTGGTTGCACCAACTAAACCGCCCAAACAAGGTATTTGTGTGTCTTTGTGTTATTTAACAACACCAGTTCTATCACTTCCAACAGAAGAACTGCACTATAAATATTAAACTAATTATTGTTTCCCACTAAAGACTTTCTGAAGATGAAACTCATGCAACCAATGGAGAAAGACGGGGTAAATATTTCTATTGCACAGAAATGTGCAGCATGAATATGTCTGTGTGTGTCATTTTACTTCCTAAACTGTGGATGTTTTCCAGAATAATTGCAATCCTGGTCAGCTTTATTCAAAGCTGTTTGATGAAGTTGAGAAAATTAAGTGTTGGAAGGTTAAAGTTTATTCTGACACTGTGGAAAAGGAAAGAAGGCTCCAAGATAACAAAAGAACAATTGAAACACAGCGCAAGGCAATTCAGGAGTTGCAGGTGTGTACCCCACAGACTGATCTTATTTGATCTTATGCTTATCTCTGTCTATCTACTTATGTACAACATTTACAACAGGAAGAGATAACTTTGAATTCTTTAATGTATTTTCTGTCTGCAGTTTGGAAATGAAAGTCTCAGCATAAAGATGGAGGAGCAGATTAGTGAAAATGAAGAACTGAGAAACAAGTATGTGTGATTTGTGAAACTAAGATAAATATGATGATCTGATTACATTTAGCTTTGTTTTGTTCCTTTAATTGTGAAATGCTAAAAACTCAATTTTTAAAATGCAGAAACAATTCAACATGGAACTTGTGCAATATACTCAAGGAAACCTTTGACTCGTCAGTTGAGAAAATACATTTATGTAAGTAAAAATTCTGGTGATCTGGAGAATACTTTTCTTTATCAGCTTTAGTAAGTGCAGAAATAAACGGTACATTGCTGTGAATGTTTTGCAGTTGAAGCTGAAAGAGAGGAAACCCACCACCTCCTTACTGAAAACAACGAAAGCGTTAAGGTAAAACACCACAAAATATTTGCCAGTAGTAGCTTTTAATTTATTATATTTTGTTGACCAAAACATTGTAAAATGATGAGGTTTGATTGCCAGTTTATTACTTTTTCATTTAGAAAATGATTGCCGCATTTGAAAGCCTACGTGTCCGAGTAGAAACTGATCAGCAAGAGATGCAGAAAGGTATATATATACATTTCTTCTTGCCGCTATTACGCCAAAATGTTATGTCTTTTACTCAATAAAATGCCTTAAATGTATTTAGGCTTTAAGTGGAACTAGATGAATTAGTGACACTTTGACCATCAACACAGCATGTTTTATTGTTTTTCAGTCAAAGAAGACTTACTGCAATTTGACCATCTACAAAAGAAATATCAGCAGGAATTTAAGATAAAACAGGAAGAGGTTGGTGGGGGCAAAAAGCCCTTCCATCAGTTTATTTGAGGAACTTTTGGCATGAAATATATTTCCACAAATTTTACAAATTTTGACACGTTAATGACTGACATGTTCTTTACAGATAACCATGCTTCAATTAAAACTTAAGGATAAGGAAACCCAACTACAGAAACTCCTGCTGGACCTCGATGAAACTCAGAAGCACTGCAATGAACTTCAACAGTCAACAAGTAACATCATAATTAGATCTGAAGATAAGCTGTGAATGTTGATTCTATAAACTTTGCTACACTGGTAATAAAAACAGTGTGTTCATAACAAGACATTTTTTAAATATTACTCAGTATTAAATATGCAGAAGTATTAGAGTCATGACAGTATATTTGGATAGATGCTCATTAACATGAGAAAAGGTGCTTAGTATAAGGTGAAAATGTTTTATTTCTTTTCCAGACTTCAGGTCAGGTTAGTACACTTTGTTTTGGGGATATTAATATTATATATGTGCTTTTATAGATCATCAATTTGAAGTTCTCAAAAGTGCAAAAGCTGAACAGGAATCTCTTCTTCAACAACTGAATATTGCTGAGCAGCGCTGCAGAGAGACTGAGGTGAGTATCTTGAGATTCTTTTCTTTGTACTGAAATTGGGCTCTTGTGTTGCATGCAATATGCTTTAACTGAAATATTAATAACCCAACAAAGAAAAATCAGGAAACTACTGCTGCAGCCTTGGAACAAAGTAAAAAAGAGTATGCTGAGGTCATCCAAAGCAAAGATCTCAGTTTACAGGAGCTCAACAGAGTCAAAAACCAGCAAGCAGAGGAGCTAGAGTGCATTCAATCAACCATTCAAGAGCTAAAGACTTCACTAGCACTAGAGAAAGAGAGGTATATTAAACTCCTTCATTCACAGTGTTTTCTAGATAAAGTACAGTGTTTCCTCATGTCATTATATTCTTGTTTTTACTTTTCTGAAGGGCCAAAGAGCTTGAGGATAAACTTATAGAAAACAACACTGAACTTGAAAGGAGAAACACAGTTTTAGGTAAGTCCCACCGGATAACATGTGTTGATATTTTTAGGTGATGTGGTTTCAAGTCGAAAGAAATATTTTACTCAACAGGGGAAACCTTCGACCAAGCTACAAAGAAAGATGGCCTAATCCAAATTCTCAAAGATGAACTGGTACGGTTTATTTGAAGGGAAAGTGTACGATTTCTCTCTAAAACCAGTCCTTGCATGCCCAAGTCTGTTACATACCTTCAAAACAATATGTGTTCTTGTTATTAGGACACAAAATCTAAATCCATTGAGTCAGTGAAGGCTAAAATTCAGTTCACTCAAGCTAAAATGGAGGAACTCATGGCTGAGCTTTTAAAGAAAACTGAAGAAATCCACTTGGTTAAGGTGATATAAGTAGATAAATAGATACATAATGCAAAAAGAAAAGACAATCTGTATCAGATAAAGATACTTAAAATTGTTTGTCCTTTTTCCTTGATACAGAAAGAAGCAGAGAATGCTTTTGCTGAAAATGATTCACTGAAAAAGGCTTGTGAAGCTGCTGAAAAGGAAAAAGAACATTTACAGGAGAAGTCCACTTTGACTCAGGTATTTACATGTTTTTAATTTTGTTTCTCATCCCCTCACCTCTTATCCACTAGAGAAAGCTGTTTATGTGTTTGGTAGTAAAATATATTCATTGGGTTGAAATATACAATGCATTGCTTCTCTGTAATATACCTGCAGATCAAAGTGCAGGTGCTGGAGGAACAGCTGTGTACTGAAATGAAGAAAAATAAGGAATGCAACGTTCAGATGGAGCAGCTGACGAAAGACATTTTGCAAAATGAGTGAGTTATTAATAGACAGCCATTTTATCATATTAGCATATATAATATTTTATTACGCTGTTGTAATATGTTTCATTTTTTATTTATGTCATTTTTAAGAGTAAAGTATGAAGAGTTATTATCAAACTTTAATGAGCTGCAGTCTGAAAAGACAGCCATTCAAGAGCAGTTTGAAAATGGATTATCTAACGTGCAAACTATTGAGGCAAACATGAAGGTCTGAATTTTATTGTATTATTGTCATTTTTATTATTATTTGTATTATTATTAATTCATTTATTATATGAATCACAAATTCTGAAAACTGTTTTGACTCAGGTGAGTGAGGAGAAGGCATTAAAACTCGATGGAGAAATTCAAACGCTGGTGGAAGAAAACAAGACTTTACGGTGAATATGCACTTCAGAGGCTTAAAGATACTTTTTCCTGATTGGAATGCACAGTTTTTGAGATTTAAATATTAATTTTCCATGCAATAGAGATGAGTTAACTGCAGTCAAAACCAAAATCCTGGGGAAATGTGTACAAACAGAAACTCTGCAGAAGCAAATTGAAGAAAAGGTAAGCATCTTAACTAAATTATTAGCAGAAACAGGGCTTTATAAAGATGCTTATTCTAAACATGTTCATTATGACTTCTTTATGCTCTGTGTGAACAGTATGAGCAACTTCAGGTGAAAATCACAGAAAAAGAAAAACAGATCAAAGCTGTGGAAACAAAGGTGAGTGAAAAATGTGAAATTGCAAATACTGTTGTTATTGATCATTTTCTGGAACTAAACAAAAAATCTTTGCTTTTTAGCTGTGCAAACTCAGAAAACAATATGAAATTAAATTTAAAGCCCAGGAGGAATACAAGAAAGAGGTTTGTAATGACCATGAAACTCTAGCTATAAAAGGAGTGGAATGGTATTTATTGTCCTCACTTGTATATTTTCAGAATAAAATGCTTAAGAAACAAATGGCACAGGAGATTGCAAAATCCAGTGACCTTGAAACAACGGTATGGGGATGGTTTGCTTTGTGTTTTTATTTTCCAGTTGTTAATACGTATGTGAACTATTTAAGCTAATCAGTATTAGACTGGAAAATTAAGATGCTGCTTTAATCTTTAGATCAACAGCCTTCAAAATGAGTCCCAGAACCTTAAACAACTCAAAGGAGAAGAACATGAGAAACTGCTCAAGGCTCTTGAGTCAAAATCGACTTTTGCAGCAGAACTTGAGAAGGAGGTTACTTTTTAACTTTTCAATTTGTAATTTCAATTTAATTAACATTTACCTCCTTCAAATTGAATTTACAATAATAGAACCAATTTGTGTTGTAGGTCCAGAAACTTAGAATAACAGCAGCAGAAGCCATTAAGAACAAGGAGGCCACAGAACTTAAATGCCAGCATAAGATTGGAGATATGGTCACTCTGATGGAAAAACATAAGGTAAAGTTATTATAATGGCCTTTTTGCTGTCTGATAAATATGTCTCATGTATATTGTGTTGGAATGAACCCAACTTGTCACTACCAGAGCCAGTATGACCGGATGGTCCAAGAAAAGGACGCAGAACTTGAAGAGAAGAAGAAGAATGAGATGGAGGCGACTGCTCGTGAAAAATCACTGGTACCAAGAAACATGCTAAGTAGCACTAATAATGATTGACCAGAAAATATGTCATATCCTAACATTTGCATCACAAATTTCTCTAAATCAGGAATTGGACCTCTCAAAGCATAAGTCTGAAAATGAGAGGCTGAAGAACGAGCTGAAGGCAGAAACAAGAGAGAAGGTATATCCTACTTTAAATCAGTTTATGTTGGATTTATGAATACAGCTGTTTGTTTGTCATACTTCTGAGAGAGACAGCTCACAATGTAACAAACACTTTGAATTTAGAAAAACCTCGGAAACAAAACAAGTGATCTGAAGCAGGAAATGTCTGTTGTGAAAAGCACTCTGCTGTCACAAGGGAGCGACAAACAGGTACAGTGCATGCAGCTCATAGGCTGCCACTAGATGGCATTCTTTGTCATTACTTTTAGTTGACCCAAAATTGTATGTGTACAATTTTACAGGTACAGGTAGCTGCCTCAAACTATAAACAAGGGAAAAGTTCAGAGGTTCCAAAAAAGAACTCTTCAAAGAGTCACACATTTGACTTCTTCAAGGCCAAGAAAACTTCCTCCTACAGCAAAGATGGTCAGAGTTTGGCCACTCGTACAACATATGTGAGTTTTATCGACCAAAATGTTTTCAACAGATTAAGCACGTTTTGTTTCAGACATTTTTGTTTAAGGTAAGCTTAGAAAATCAGATGATTAAGGTTTTTATAACTACAGATTTCTCAAAATAGCCTTTTCTACTTCAGATATAGTACATCCTTGGTTTTGGGTATTATGAAAAATAAATACAACCCCAATTGAATTTGCTGAACTGGTATTTATTAGAAAAATAATCCATGGTACCAGGTTATAGGTAAAGACAAAAACAGAACAACATTCAGCTGAGTCAGGATCAGCCGATATTTGGTCTAAGTGATTGGTGGATCAAAACGGACAAATAGATTCATTTATTATTTTTCCATAATATTTGCGAAGATTTTAATTGCCATTTTTTGGTTTGTTTTTTTTTGGTGGACATGGTGTTTTAGCCTTTCAATTTGTAGCCCTATAGCTATTCATAATGTTTATTATTCACCTGGATTTTATTTAGAGAAAGAAAAGAGATTTTAAATGTATTTATTGTGTATGAGTAAAAAAAGGTATATATTCATATGTTTGAATGAGAGTCTCAAATGTGCCACGGGAACTAAAAATGCACCAGAGTTGACAGATTTATTTAGAAACCATCAATTAACAAGAATAGCAGTGTGAATATGAGCATGGGTGTTACGCATTGGAGAAAACATTTAAATTCATGAAGAGCATCTCTCAGAGATTAGTAAGCTAGCAGCTTTTATAGGGCCTGAGAATACTGGCGCCAGATACTCTTTGTCAGTTCACATGGAAGACTCTGCTAATAATTGCCTATAGCTGTAGGGAACGACTGCAAAACTTTGTGTGAGAGTGCAAAGCAGTACAATGTAACCTTATTACCACAGCCTTTTTCTAAAGCAACTTTGTTTGAATTGTTGTTAAGGAATCTGCTACTGAATTTATCAGAGCATCATGTGGAACACCAAAATCCAAGGTAGACTGCAATTTAACCTATTCATAAAGTAGATATATAAAATGGCTATAGTGACAGAATAAATTATAACATAATTCATGTATCGATATGCTTTTATTTACTTTAAGTTTTATGATAAATGATTGCACTGACTTTGAATTGTAGTGCATCAACAGTGAAGACATGAAAACCCCAAGAAGTCTTACAAACCATATTGCTGGAACAACAAAGATCAAAGTAATATAGTATACCATTCTGACATTTTCCAAAATTGAAAAAATATGAATATATTCACTGACATTTACTCCCCTATAGTCCTACAGAATAAGGACTCCCCCTTCTGAACAGTCAGCACAGTGGGGAAAGAGCGCCATTGAACTTGACCCCAAGTCTGACAGCTCAGATCAAAATGATCTCTTGGTAAGCAATGTTTTTTTGTTTTTGTTTTTTCGGGTTGGGGGGTGGGGGCTTGTTAATATTTAAAAAAATAATGGCATAAACCTTGCAGGTTATGTGAATGTGATTTTACCATTTCTGCAAATTCGCTAGGACAGATTAATGTGTATTCCTCTGTTTCTTGTCTTGATAGACCTTTACAAATACACCTGCACATAAAAGTTCAGATTCACAATGTAAACTCCACATTCTCAAAAAGGTAATGTGCCTTTATGATCCAACAAAGTGGCATATAATATACTTACTTTGATTTTTAAAAATCCCTATATGTGTGTATGTGTGTGTTATTTTTACAGAATCAGAGCCCACTCATTCATAAATCACCAGGAAACTCCTTAAAGCTGGCCGCAATGAAAAGAATGAGAGATGCTGGTTGGACAGCTGTTACTGGCTGTGACAAAAAAAAGAAGAAGACCAATGAGAAGATTTTTGCCTAAGTATGGCTGTTAGGTCAGATTAGCAGTAATAACAATATTGGTAGAGGTGGGTGACTTGACATACAGTTCTATTGAAAATGAATAAATAATACACGATTGACTGAATAACAAATAGACTAAAAATAACACAAAAACATGAATGGAATATGTTTCTATGGTTCAACTAAAACATAGTGTCAATGAGAAGAAGGTTTTGGTGTTAAGATGCCAGCTTTTAGTAAGTTTATTTATGGGTGTTTAGGATTAAATTTCTACCTACTACAGAGTCAATGTCTTTACTTATGTATTACTTTGCTGTTGTGCTAATGTTTGGAATAACTCATCTTTAATGTTAACGTGAAATCTAATATGTTCTATCACAAGGTTATGTTGCTGATCTTTGACAATTTCTAGTTGTTACAAGTTACTCTGTTAATATATTTATGTATTCTGGTGTTGTAAAAATAACAGCAATGTTCTCAAAAATCAGTTTTGTACTTGTTTGCATGTCCTACCTATTCTCATTTTCCTTTTCTAAGGACCACTTTTCTCTTATAAAGACCATCATAGGAGTTGTATTTCAGTCTTGAAAGTATATTGGTTACATTAGTTCAGTACATTGGTTTTACCCACTCCTAAACTGTAGATTTCAGACTATAGAAACTCTGTGTCTTTAATGGAGAAACTCAAGGTGGAATTGAGACTGGTCTGCAGGAGCTGTTGGTACGTTGTCGTAGATTGGATGGCCATCATAAAGTCCTCCAGAAATAACGAGTGTGTCATCATCTGCCACAAATGTATCTGTTTAAAATTAGATTAGTATTTTTAATTGCCAATAGTAAATAAAAGGGTTTGAACTAATTGTTTGATGAAGGAGAGTCCCTTACCTGTGTATTGAGCATTATTGAGAGGTTGGTGCAAGTACTGTATTTTCTGTTTGCATTTGTGAAACATAAGAAAAACCAACAACACAGCAAATGCTCCAAGTACAGTGCTGAAGACAATAGTCATATTCCTTTCAGAGACATTGAGGCCCACATCTAGCAACAAAGTAAAACAGCAAGAATTACCATAATCAGCAAATTATATTAAAAAAATGAATAGTTGTTGATAAAACTGCAGATAAGAATGGAGCCTTATGCTTACCTTGTCTGGTTCTGTTCATGGTAGTATGAGTTGCATTTTCAGTTGTAATTACTGGAGTACTTGGTGTACTTGAGTTATCTACTGTGGTCTGGATTGCTGCCGTTGTTTGTGCAGTAAATGTTGACATTTGAGTGCTAGAGCTTGTAGTCCTCAGAGTTGTACTGTTTGTTAGAGGAGTCAAGGTGGTTGCTGACTGAGAAGTCTGGTAGTGACTTGTCCTCTCGGTTGTTGCCGCAGTGGTGCTAACGACAGTTTTGTTATCCAACTGTGTGCTGGTATATAGTGTTGTCTCCTCAGTCAAATTTGAGATTGGTGAAGTAGAGTCAGACTGAGTTAGTGTCGTAAGGGTCGTTAAGCTAAAGGTTGGTTGAGGAGTGCTAGTCCCATTTTCTGTTTGGGCCACACTGAACAAAAGGGCCAGATGGCAGTAAGCCAGGGCAGTAAACTTTACATCCATGGCCTTTTAATCTGGAACTAGAAAGAAAAACATTAGCTGAAATCAAGACTGAACAAGACTAAATGTGATCTTTTTAGTTAAATTACACAAACATGTAAATCCCTCTTGTGAAATTTTAAGTAAATTCAAACTGTTTAAAAAACTAATTCTAAAAAAAAGAAAGAAAGAAAAAACAGCTCACCTTGTTTAGTTAATAAGAGTGAAAGCAGCAGCCTAGTTTAGTTTAATTCTCTGGTTGAAAGTGTGCCTCCATGTCTCAACTGACTGTTCACTTCCTGGATTGAAAGTGGCTGATACTATGGCAGGTGAATGTGGGCAGGGCAGTTTTACCCTTAAACTTCCTCTACTGTTTGTTACTAAGGAGACAAAGGCATTGTTGTAAGTCGGTCCAGAGATCAGCGTCTGTTTCTTTATGGGAAACATATTTTACAAGCCTTAAAGAGACAGTTACCAAAATGACAATACAAAAGACAATACATTTATATATATATATATAGAGAAAAAGGTGTGTGTGTACAGTTCATGCACTAAAGTTTTTTAGTTAGTTTAGTACACTTTTTTTACAAAATATTTTATTGACAAATTTGTTACCATCTTGTACAGGCAGCTCATAAAGAGTGCAATAGTTTCCATATAAAAGCAACTCTGTAATAAACAAACAGCCATTGTTCATGTTTCAAAACACTTCCTTCAAAACAGTAATCACACTGTACAGTAAAAGTGAACAATACTCCAATATGTATCTCTGTGTCGGCATAAAATTAAGTGCAATGCTCAGATAGATTATGAAACTGTAATCTGGTATCAGCAATTATAAAGGGCGATAAATGGAATAACAAGGTTGTCTAAGTGAACATGAAACGGGAACATCTCAGCCCATGGGGAGTAGAAGTTGTGGGCATCTGACTTGAATAAACAATGATTTCTTTTTCCATCATTGTATTAAATACACTGTTTCTGTCTTGTTGAAATATGTCAGTAACATAAATACAATGATTTCTTGAGTGATTCAATTTTAGATTTTCGACACATGATTAGTATCAATATAAATACCATTATCATCAGATGCTAATAAAGGGGTTTTGCTTGTGCTTTATGTGTGTGAGTATATTTTCTTAAATTTAATTAAAATGACCCCAAGACAGAATATGTCATTGATAGACTAATATTATAGTCTTGTGTTTTTTTCAACATCTTTGCTCATCACGTCGTCTTCTTTGAATCCTGGGTTGTCAGCTCCCATGCAAATGTTTGCTGAAGGCTTCTCTGTGATGTCTGATTCCTGTATTGGGTTAAAACATATTATATTTATAACACCAAATTTTTGTTTATTTTGGAGAGGGTTGCTGATATGTTCTTCCTTTGTTTGTTAGGGGGTAAGCATCATACCTTTGACTTATTGCACCAGCTGAAGCAGATTAAGTCATTCTTCCTCACAAACAGCTCTGAGTTCATCTTGTCTTGCTTACATCCACCTGTATATGTATAAAAAAAATACATACTCCCTCGATTTTATCCTTGTTTTGATATAATTGAAATACCATTATATTATGGACTAGATTTCTGCAGTGCTTAAAGTAAAGACTAAAAAGTAATATCTCACCTGTGATCACGCTCACAAGCAGGCCAGACACAATTGTGGTCAGAACGCCCAACAGAGAAAAGTAGACGTAAGACAGAGAGTACCAGGTGTCTGCTAAAGGAGGCCTATAACTGAAATGAACAAAAATCACTCATTTTAATATACTTAGACTATATATAAAAATTTATGTTTAAAGCAGACAACTGTTTTCAACTGTTGACAACTGTGTTATGATGATCTAATGTTGGCAGTGTTTGTTTTATGTGTGACTCCTCCCACCAGAGGATGGCTGTGGGTTTTTTCCCCTCTCTCTTAGGAGGTGGACACCTGGGCGTGCCTGGTAGTTGGGTGGAGTCTCTTGGATTAGATAATTGGCTAATCACCTCCCGTACTTAACTACCAGATGACAGCCACCTGGCCCCCTCCTCTCTCTCCTAACCTCCACCATCCAACAAAGAACCTGTGTTTTGATTCGTTGCTGTTTAGAGTTTCTTTGACAAAGTGATTTGCAAGTATAACCTCGTGTGTGTGTCTGGCGTTAGTACCTCAATTTTGTAAATAGCTGTAAATAGATTTGTCAAGTAGCAATCGTGTATTTTGTTCACCTTGTATATATCCTTCACTGCAGCAGCCTAGTAGGCGTGAGAAGCCATTTTTGTTGATTACGTTTTCTCCTGTTTTTCATTTACTTTTTCATTTTTCATTTACTTCACTTTTTTGTACAAAAAGTACAAACTTCCAGAGAAGTTTGTACTTTTTGTAGTTGATTCGTGAGGTTTAATTATGCCTTTTTAGACAGCTATTAAACAGCTGTTGCTGTTTTGGTTTTTTTTGTTAAATAAAAGTTTACTGTGATTTTTACTGTGTTGCTGAGTAGCAAAAGAAGGTTTTGCATCAGTCTTTTATGTAAAATGACTCACTCAGGCTCTGGGGCCAGAGTCACTGGACTGGTCCAGGGAGTTATTGTTGTATAGTTTTGGCCTATTGTGTTGTTGCAGCCTGCAGTGGTGAGTGGAAGAGGATTTGTCTTTTCAGCTGTTGGTGGGTAAATCTGGCCTCCGATCCCCACCCACAGAGTCAACACTAGACCAATGATCATTCCCACAAGTCCTCCCTGAAAAGTAAATATGAACACAGTGAACTACTTTCTCTAGGACGTCACATTTTTATTACTTTGGCAATATTTTTTTTTATGTGTTATCAGGTTGTGCAGTTGTGCTAGTAGAAGTCTGAGGGCAAGGAAATACTCACTATTGAGTTTGATGTGCGAAAAAACATGCCTAATAGATAGAGACCAAGGAGCGGTCCGCTTATCATGCCAAATATAGAAAGAGCAGCCTGAAAAGAAAAGGGGGGGAAAAAAGACAAGAAAAGAAAAAAGTAGTTTACCCTGTAGTTTGCAACTTTCACCTCATGGTGAAGCTGAAGAGCAATAAATGACTGCAGTAGTTTGTGTTCATGGTGATTCAGATTACCTGCAGGACGCTTCCCATCAGGGAAGCTACTCCAGCCATTCCAATACACACTCCTCCAAAGAAAACACCTGCGAGTAGAAAAATATAAAAGATCCAGATTACAACGTTCGCAGTGCAAATTCAGTTGTTCAGATAGGCAACATGTTTTACAGTTTTCTAGAACAAATGTTATTATGGTTATGCACACTTAACTCTGTTTAAAAGCAAATGTTTATTTGGGGTTTTTTTTCTTCATATAATTCAATTTATCATCATAACTTATGGAAAAATAAGTCCACAAAGGTGATGTGAGGCCAGTAGAAATCATGTTTTTTTCCTACCATAAATGATTTAGCACTTTAAAATGGACTGCAAGGAACAAAAACAGCATATTGATCCATACTAAAAACTGTCTGTATGACATAAAGAAGAAAAAGATAAGCTATGTGCTGCAAAAATATTTTCATAAATGAACGACCTACACCATAATTACACCTTCTGAAAACCGTAACAGTACCGACTGTTCTGTTAGGTCTGTTAATATAAATTATTAACAATTGTTTTTTACGACTTCATGACTTGTCTGTTTGCTGAATTGACAAGACTTCCTTTGTTCAGAGGTATTACGCAGGCTCAAATGATTATCTATGATATATTTCTAATCATTTCATAAGTTATATGGCGGAAATGCTTTGAATCCTTTGCTTAAAATAGCAAGATAAGATTGTTATCTCGATGTCACTTGCTCTCTTGCAATCTCAAAGGGTCTGGGATAATAGGAGTCTGAACAGTTGTTGGTGACTACTTATAAACAAAGAGCTGTAAAGTCTTATTATTAAGCTGCGTTATTACAGACACGATGAAGCTTTTATTCGGGGTTTTCAATTCAAATCACTTTAATTAATATATATAGCGCCAAATTGCAGCAACAGTTGCTTCAAGGCTTTTTTGGACTATTTTGGAAGTTTTTTGTTTCTGCAACTTACTCAGGCCCATGTTCATCCAGCTCACTTGCTTCTGTGTGAGGTCTTTGTACACTGGTAGAATAAAGTCTTCTACCGTGACAGCAACTAGGGCATTAATGCTGGAAGACACTGTGCTGAAAAATATACAAAGGTAAGCTTTTAGACTTGGAACACAACAGTCAGGCTGATGCATTTAAAATGATAATTACACACAGAGAAGCTAGTTTCAGGCAACAGATGGTACTTTATGGCATTATCTATGTCTAGTAATGCAAATGCAAAAATATTATCCTGTTCACTACTTAGTGACTTTTTCTCAGGCAGCAACAAAGGCAGTTCTTTTCTAAGAATGTTAATTTATCAGGTCTTGATCCCTGCACAGCTCTAAAATAACATGTTTTTGCATGTCTAAGGCTCTCACCTCAGGGTACCACTATATGCTGCAGCCACAAACAGGCCTGGAATTCCAGGGAAGTCTGCCAGAATATCCATCACAAGGTATGGGAACAGCTGGTTGATAAATATAACCCATGTTTTGTTACACATAATGCTTTGTTGCACAATAAAAGGAAAGGTGGTGAGGACTAAAGAGAAAACTGCAGGTTTACTTACTTGGTCAGGGGTGGCAACATCACCGTTTGATAGTGGATCACAATTCTTGTAAATGGAGTACATGGTGAGACCAGAAAACACAGCCAGAGTTACAGTTATCCACAAGCCGACCATATTCACATACAGAGACCTGAAAGATGAAAAAAGACATGTCAGCACATAAAATTTTGCTCAGACTCAGCAATGTACTGTTTGTATTGAATTACAGGAACGCTCACATTTTGGCATGTCCCAGGGTTTTGCAGGAGATATAACGCTGCACCTGGGACTGGTTGATTGCGTAGATTGCCGTCCACATTATGCTACCGCCAACTACTATGCTCCAGAAAGTATGTCGTTTCAGGGGATCTGGATCAAAACTGTGATAGAAATGTCAATAATATGAAAATATATTGAAGGTTAACTTTGAGGACTTCAGCAACACAAACCTCTAACGTGGAATGGCATATAGAAGCCAATTAGCAGGCTTCCCATCCATGATATTTATTTTTGGATGCAAAATATTTTTAGTAAATTTCCTTGGAATTAGTAATGACAGTTTATGTGATTCAAAAACCCTGCCCGTTTTTTATTGTAAAATAAACTCACTCACTATTGGACATAAGTCTGCTTGTGTACTTACTCAAAAGCTTGTAGTCGGCCTCCTTCACCAGCATCTTCCCAAATCTTTGTCAGGCCTCCCTGCAGTACAGCTCCT